CAAAGCAAACAACGAAGGTGAGAAAACGTTTGGTAAATGCTTTTCCTGTGGCGAATCTCACTCTCGTAATTCATGTACATTTCGTAATGCTAAATGTTTCAAATGTGGCAAGATAGGACACATTCAGTCAGTATGCGAAACTACTGTTCACTTTACTTCAAGTATTACTAAGTCTTGTAGTTTAGATCCCAATAATTCGGCTGTCCCTAATGACCCTTTATCTTTATCCACCACTTAAAAAGGGAATGTTCATATTCAAAAGCGATTATATACATCCCTTAGTTCATTTCATGACATTTCTCTAGAGACAGGTAGTATAGAGTCCATTATTTCGTTCAAGAACTTCAGATCTTCGGATCCTAATTTATGGTAAGACCCGCTGAAGTCCCAATACTGCGGATTACTGGACAAAGACTTCCCATAAGAGGATGTCGTTAATTGCTAATAAGAGATGATAAATCTTTCTATATACCCTGTGAATTTTTAGTTAGTGTAACAGGACTGTCAATACTGGGTTCGAAAAAATTGAAAAGGCTTAAGGTGGAATTGTCTCTCCTAGTTTCTACAAAAAAATTCTGACGCTTTACTTAAAGATTTGATGGCTGCGTTTGCTATGTGTAGTGTAGGTATGAAAATCCAGACTATAAAACATCAAGTACATTGTGGTCCAGTCCTTCTTCAAAGACGAATAATTACTTATGGTCTTCGAGAAGCAAGACATAAGACACTGAACGATTGTGTGCGAAATGTACGATTGAACGGAATCAGTCTTCAGCATGAGGTATTCCTGTTGTTACGCCGTTGAAGTTGGAGCGCAAGCCCCCTAGAATATGTCGTGATTGTAGAACAACACTGAACTCCTGCAAACATGCACGGCAGTGGAAGCTGAAGATATATTCTAAATCGACTTCATGGATCTAAAGTGTTTTCGAAAGTTGATTTAGAGGATGCTTATCTTCAAATCTCTTTAAATCAATCTTTATGTGTTTTGACAACGGTTAACACCACTTTTGGTCTGTTCAAATACAACTTCCTTCAATTTGGTCTAAGTTGTTCTCCAGCCATATTTTAGGAAGTTATGAATAAGGTAGTCAGTTTATCTTAAAGGTGTTGAAGTTTATTATGATGGTCTCATTGTTCATGGTACTGATAAAGTAGTTCATGACCAGAGACTTATTGCTTAATTGCGTCGTTTAATTGAGGGGAATATTATAGTGAATCCAAATAAGTGTTCATTTTATGTATCTAGTTTCGAATGCCTTGGATACCTAGTTGATGGTAATGGATTTAGACCAGATATGAAACGACTAGCTCCACTGACAAATGCATCGTCTTGAAAAGCTCCTACAGAACTACGTCCTTTTGTGGCTGCTCTTCAATACTACTCTCGTTTTATTCCAATTTTTTTGTCGTCTCAACTGTTTATTTAATAATCTGGCATCCAATTCGTTCGAATAGCTTGAGGAACAAGAGACATGCTTACGAAGTCTGCTGAAGCTTCTCTAAATTGATGCTGTTCTTCGAACTTACTCACCCAGTGTGCATTCTGTACTTAGTACTGATGCATCACCTGTGGGTATTGCCGTTGTTTTTGGAACATGAAGACAGACCAGCTATCTGTGTTTTACGCAAACTTACTGTTACTGAACAAGATTATTCACAAACTCAGAGAGAAGCATTAGCTGTGTTTTGAGCTGTTAAAAGTATTCATAAATATTTATTTGGGAAAAAATCCACTATTGTTACTGGTCATGAAACGTTAAAGTTCATTAACCATCCTGAAAAATCCTTAGCATATTCCTCAGCTGCTATGGTTCAAAGATGGAGTATTGCTTTGAGTGCCTGTGACAATACGGTTTAGTACAAGAGTGTTAAACAAATTCAACGTGTTGACTTCATTTTTCGACAACCTTTTGCAACCTTTATCGGTGAGACTTCGAGATCTCTCTAGAGGGACTCATAGATACTTTGAATGTATACTCAGTGCTATACGGAAAGGTTGGACAGCTAATCTGAAACGTAGATTTTCTGTCTATTTTTCGAAGCGCGATGATTTATCCACTACTCCTGATGAAGCTTTGTGTCAAAATGATCGTCTTGTTATTTCCCCTTCATTATGTAAAACTGTCTTTGGAGATCCTCATAGTGGACATTTAGGTGTTGAGAAAATGAAGTCCTTGGCAAGGCTCACATGTTGGTAGCCAGAGATAAATGCAGATATATGTCATATGACAAACAATTGTGGGGAATGTCATAAGTTGAAAAGTCAGCTTTCGAAGTAGACAACATGATCAGTGTCGTCAGGGGCCTGGCAGAGAATTCATGCAAACCACTCTGGTCCATTTCTTGGCAAATACGATGCACTTGTAGTCAATGATCCTTTTCTCGAAGTGGCTTGACATTTTTTCACAAGCTCATCAAATTCTGACTTCACAATCGGAGCACTAAGAAAAATTGTTAGTCGAGATGGGTTCTCATGGTGTTAATGACTGATAATGGCTCTCATTTTGCTTCAGTCACAGTCACAACTTGGTTTAATAGTATGAGGTGCAAACATCTGTTTACTACTTCCACGCACCCTTGCTCTGATGGTCAGACAGAAAGATTTGTCAGGACATTGGAAACTGCCATTGATTCTATTGCCACCTCAACATTTAATGAACTAGTGAGGGGAGTACATACATTTCTACTTCAATATAGAAATGCCAAGCATTCTGTGACGAAGGAGACTCCATCAACGCTATTAAAAAGAAGAATTCTCCATTCCATTGTGAGGTGTTCGAAGTCTGCAGAAGTTAGGCTGTGGCGGGTGCAGTTTATGTATGAAATAATAATTCTTTTGTATCGATGAGTGTTTTTATTTTGAATCCTCAATACAATAGATTCGTTCGTATTTATCTGATACTTCTTGATTCAATTGCGTTGTTTCTGGGATTACTAGTTTATACTATAGTTCAAATACTCCTAAATATCACAGCACTACACAGGTATCACAATACTATCGGTACATGGAAAAGTTCTCCACAGAGTGCAGTTGAGTTGGAGGAAAGATTTAGTAGACGTCCGTCTTCAATTTCAACAGGTCGAATTTTGTAAGGATTGGTCGAGCACAGACCAATTTCGACACTAAGAATCATCGTTAAACAACCAATAGAGTGAGATTCATAACTACGCATCAACTTCCTCGACTATGAGAAGGCATTTGACAATGTGGATAAGGGAACCTTATGTGCCCTTCTTCGACACTATGGTTTACCTGAGAAAATCGTCAACATCAATTGAAATTCACACGACGGACTACAGTGCAATGTCTCCCATGGAGGGCAGCTATCTGATGCATTCAAAGTGAAGGTCGGTATAAGATAAGGCTGCTTACTCTCATCGATTCTCTTTATTTCGGTGGTCGACTGGACTATGAAGACTTCAGCATATAACCGAAAGCACAGAATACAGTGGACAGGTTGGACTCAACTAAACTATTTGAACTCTGAAACACTCGCTTTATGTCAGTACGTTTTCACCTATATGGGCGGCGTCATCGTTAAACACGGAGGATCTAATTCGGATATCGTAGACGTTGATTGACAAAGCAAGGGCAGCATTCTTTAAATTGAAGAGTATATATTGAACTCAAAAAGACTGTCAGCCAACGCCAGTCGGAATTTTCGACACGAATATCTAGGAATTTCTACTGTCAGAATTTGAAATTTAGTAAGTTACCACAAGTATCCTCATAAAAATACTGGTATTGGTGAACAATTATCTACACAAGATAATCAATAACTGTTGAACGGATACCATCGGCAACAATTTACTACGGTAAATAACAATCCAAATCGCAGCTGAGGAGAAAGTTAGGATGTGACGCTGGAGCTGAGGAGAATACACACTCCGGAATTCATCATACTGCATCACGAGGTAACCCCATCCTCTGAATCGTGAAGTTAACAAGAAAAGTAGGTGGAATAAAGCACATTTTGAGCTGGGGATCGAAGACAGACATAGAGAGAATGAATAGTAGTTGGAAGCAACTGGAAATGAGGTCTTGAGGCAGGTTTGGTTGAAGATTTCTTGTCTGTGACCTGTGCATCTAGGGAGAATAACGAGCTTAAGTATGTTAGTGGGTAAGAACAGTTCCGAAAGTTCCATGCTTACAAACCTTGTACCTCATGAATAAGAAAGTATTCGTAATTAGCTCTTATTTAAGTACCTATAGTTAATGCCAAAGGTCAGGAGTGTTTGGGCGTAATATGAAACGAAAGGACTTCAGAGAAAGGGACTTAGTCAAAAATGCATACCATCTGACAACAAAATATGAGTAGAGAATATGCACATACAAATACACATTAAGAGTAATGATCACTTTAAACCAAGGGCTTTGAACTGTTGAAAAGACTGGTTGTGATGATTTTATTAACTTAGATACCACACAAGCTTTTACTACCCTATTTGTCACAAATTTAAGAGGAACATCCAAACATACTTTCAACAACCTAAAAATTCCTTGCTTTTACATAGCTGCTAACTCTGTTGTACTAAAATTCATCTTTTTTAAAGAAACTCATAGACAGTCACCTGAAAAGATACAGGCAAAAGATTCTCAGGTATATTTGAGAAATGGTCTGAGCGTTAAGAACTATGAATTCTGAGCATACTAGTTATCGTAAGAGACATGCAGCTCAGCATACCCAGACGAAATCTTTTGCGGATGAAACAGTGAGAGCCACAAGCTAGACATATTTAACAAAACTAATTTCGTCAGACTTGATGTCAAAGACCTACGAAAATATCCATTTTAAGGTTTTCATCACCTCTACAAACCTAAAGCAATAGTAATATTCGCTAAGTTACCTGGATGATATTTCAAAAATTGAAGTTCCAAGGAACCATTACTTTTTTAGACAGTGACAATTCCTATCCCATTGGATTAAGTCAGTGATCAGAGATCAATAGCATATTGTTATGTATTTTATTCAGTCCTTCGAGTCCGATGTAGTGAGAATGAGTGAAAGCAGGTAATTTAATTATTTACGTACTGATCTTGAACCGTTGCCCTCCCTACACACCTCTCTATTTCCATTTCAAATTTTGAGTGTTATGAACAATCAGCCAGTGATAGTATAACTTGATAGTTGACGGTCTCAACAATCTCATAGCTCTATAAGGAACTCATTCGCTTATACTCAAGATAGATAGACGTCCAAGTAACTGTCAAATTTATAACGACTAGTACTTCACACTGTACTACACTTAACAGATAACATAAAACACCTGGAACTACACCTAACACAACGTTAGAGATCCAAGAAACCAACTGATTCTTACTACTCAAAATGTTATTCTATATTGAGTATTGAAAGTAGCAACATTGCGAAGCTGAGGGTTACTCTTCTGGTCAAGGACGGGTATTCGTCTTCTGTACTGGTAAGTTGGTCTGTAAATAACAAAATATGACTACATATACTCATTTAAATATGCACATATTTGTGTTAAAACATGTGAAACAACTGTCTCATTATTATCATAAAGCCAGAAAGTGATTTTTTCGGAGGGGGAATGATGTATATCGTTGACCTTGTTATGTTGAAACCATAGTTTTTATCTTGTTTCCTATCAAGTGTCATTAATATTGTACGGGCTAGCTCCCATTCTTACAATGAGTCTTTATTCCCATCCGGTTTCTTGGAATGTACATCAAATGTACTGTAAATACACGTGTATTTACTGAATGCAAATGAATCTTTAATTAGGTTATGTGGTTATGCGTGAAAATAACAAAACGACTAAGATCTGTGGGGGTTTTAGCCAATCCCGAGGAAGTTTTCCAAGCTTTTCAACCACCAAATAACTCAGTATTTAAGTTCAGGCTCCATAAAAGTGTGATCTCTATGTCAAGTTGTTTCTTATCTGTTGAGCAACTGATTTAATCTTTCTATCTAGTAAGACTATATGTATAATAGAACATGTGTTGCGAAACAGTTTCCGAAACTATTTGCTCTTTACTTAATAAACTCTTAAAAGTACTGAGGGTTTGAATGCAGGATAATGGAAATTAAGTGTAATGTACCTTATTAGAAAGTGCTTTCCACAATCTACTGATCATCGTTGCAGTTGGTGAGATATGACGTAGTGGGAAGAGGTCGCTGAAGGTCTATAGATAACCAGAAAACTTGTTATTAACCTACAGAGTAATTGATCGTTAGTTTCAGTCGTGTTACCAAATTTAATTCCCCTCGAGTATTGGCCGGAGACGGTCATTCTTCGGACCTCAATAAGCGTGTCTAAAACCCAATAGTTCCAATTTTTTGTCTCTCTAGTTTCCTGTCAAACCGCACCTTCTCTCATGATTGCATATCGAGGTAAATATTAGTTGAATATACTCAACATATCCGAACTTCTTCAACCGACGAATATTCACAACCTCATCAACTGATTTACAGTCTTCCTCTATTTCCCTACGTCCAACTTTGGCATTTTCCCATCAATTGTCACAATATATATAAGATCCAAGTTGAAAAAGTCAACCTTTCTACATCTTAATAGTTCAGATCTAGATCTATGCTGAGGTTATGTCAGACACCAATTCATCAGGGTTAATAATAAATTAAGTTATAAATGCGTTCGGAAGCCTTATTTTCTATAGTCAATCTAGGCTATGCGATAGATTGGTCTACAAGAGTATGTATGCTTACCAGTTTATCACCATCTTTCCTAGTTCATACGTGGTGCTCATTGTGATAATTCATGGATAAATACTCACTGTTATCCATTTCTGAAGTTTGTTCAATGGTGTCAGATATAGCTGTTTTATTACATTGACGAGAACAGTAACTAATATCGATAGTTCCCGAATTCCTGTGACTTGTGCAAAATATTTTCCCATAATTCATGTTCCTAAATTACTATCATCATGAAACGGTATACGTTTTTAAATAGTGAATCTTATCACTACCATCCCGAATCGTAGAGTTAATTAATAGGTAGGTGTTTGTAGCCCACGACACATTTCGTGATCCTTATTTAACAACCATATCTATCTGCATGAAATGCAAATTATTTTAACATTTCTATGTTCCTAAAAATCTCTATTGTTCGGTCGAATAAATACACTTATGTAATATTCCATATTATTATATGTAAATTACTAGAGTAGAACTCTTCTAAAGGCTATATAAAACCTTTCTGACCAAAATTAAAAATTTTCTTGAATCATCGTCGGTCTGTTGTTACAATCATTCATTGACTACATATTCGATTGAAACTTCATTAGTTTCTTGTGGTGAAAGTTGTTTTCAGTGCGGCTTATTCCTATTCATGAGATAAACAGCGCCAAGTTTAAAGAAGACAATTTATTTATATTTTTGTTTACAAACACATTTTGTTCTCAACCTTCATGTAGGGCTGTCGAAAATGTCACACAATCCCGCTCCTACTCCAGCTACAATTGAAAATTCCGCTTTAGATTCTGTTGAAGCAGCTAAAGCTAAACAGAATTCTTTACGTGAACGTTTAGCTGCAAGACGTCAACTTTTAGCTTCCGTTACTCATTCTACTAAAACTTCTTCCGCTGCCTTACTTACAAATAATAGCAGCACTGGATTTGGTTCAATTAACAAACCTTTTAATGTTAACCAATCAACTGTTTCTGTTATCGAGAATGCATTGAAAAGGAAACTCAGTGATAATAATATAACGAGTGTGTCGTCTGATACACTTTCAGTCTATTCTCAATCGAATATAACTTCTTTATCAGGATTGTTGAATCCATCCTCCAATAACTGTGATCATATTGGAAAATGTTCATGTGACAAATCGCAAAATGCATCCAATGTCGATGTGAAACAATCAGATCACAGTTATAATTCACTCGATAAATCATGTAAGTAATTTAATTTCCTCATTATGAGTTTGCCTACTGCAAATAAGATGTATAACTTTGTTAATGTCAGTAGATTAGGAACAACATTAGTGATAAAATAATAAATACAAGTTTATTTGTGTCATGGATGTTGTCTGGTTGCTTGTACTTCGAAACATCTTTATTTAATTATTCGGAAAGGGAGATTAATTTTGTTGTACCATGTTTACAGGATGACAGATATAAACATACAGATTTTGTACTTAACAAGAAATTGAGAGATAAAATGAATGAAGAATGCAGTGTGGGTTAGAAGAAAGCTAAGAGCATCCGTGTAGTTGTGACTCGAATTTATAAAGGTATTGAATGTTGCTAGGTACAAACTACCTGGTTGAAGTCCACCAAGCTATCATGAGTGATGGTTAGCGTTATTGGGTGACATGGCTGATAATCGTCATGGATGCATCCACATTTTACCTTCCCTTAGGTGTATGCGATGTCAAGCCACTAAGGCTAGTGACCTCGTTACAGCTAGATCGATAGATTTCTATCATCCTTAGACAAACATGACATTTGTGACTACCACTCAGTCTAAGCTATTAACTTGTATTTGACTATGAGCTTTACCATTCCTAACTTTGAAAAGTATACGCTATCTCCAGACCTCAAATTGCTCGTAACATCCGAACTTTATACCCAAATCTTTACACCGCCTTAATGATACCTAAAAAAGTACTAATGTAAACGAGCGATCAATACTGTTTTTACTTTGACTAGTTAAATGTCACCTACAGGGAATAACAACCTGATTAACTAGCTTAGTATAATCTAAGCATGGAACATTTATTTTGTTCATAATAATCTGAGCCTATTAAGTTTTTACTCAGCTATTCTTACTAAAGAAAATACGGTCATTTGGTATCACTGATCACATGATTCTGATACATTTTTATGATTCATAATTTCCACTATTTCACGTATCAAGTTTTATCAACATTTTTTAATGAAATAATCTAAACTTAATCTTCGACAGTTTTTCCTCTTTTTTTCAACCAACTTTACTCTCTGTGTTTATCTTTAACAATTGTTCGGTAAATCGGATCAGCTGATGTCGAAAAATCAACCCCTAAACAGTCAAGGTAAGTTATACAACTGCCATACTTAACTGGAAAAGTTTTTCTTCAAGAACGTATTTTATTTAAAGACAGTATCAGAAACTGGAAGTAATGTATAGTTGTTCCATAGTCGACCTAATACTTCGCGTACCTGAATTTTGTATCACCTACTCTAATTAAGGTAGCTGGACATCATCATCGGATTCCACATTGGAGTTTTGGCTCAACAATGTTCGGTAGAAATAAAATGTCAGTTCTATGCATTGTGCAAACCCAATGTAAGCTGACGATATGCAATAACAACACACTGAATCGTACTTGTTCCACAAGTACTATAATAAAATATAGACTTTTTCGTAAAAGATCTTTTACTGTCTCTACAGAAGTTACGTTAATGGAACTTATTCGTATGCATAACTTTCTTACTGATTCTATAATATCTTAGAGGAAATAACGGTAAAAGACAAGGTAACCAATGAAAGAGAGGTTAAAGTCATTACTTGAATTATGGACAATGGATCTGTAATGAAATTTCGTTGCGCGAATATAAGAATTTTAATCATTAAATCTAAAATGCAGGATTTTAATAACATCTGTAAAAGGCTAATAAACTAGTTTACAAATTTGTCTGTGTTTCACGAAATCTCATACTCTACTTGAATTCGATAAATATTACAGTTCAAAGTAGAATATTTGAAAGTCCAGGATTATGCATACTGACTAGATTTATGCCATACGTTTCACTAGCCGTACATTCAAAATAAGTAAGACCTCTTTGTGAGCTTGAATACTGTAGTTTTTTAATATGAACTACCAGTCTGCATATAAGTGTTAGCGATCCACGTGTGACCTTAAAATTGAAACACTTTTTCTGCCCTTTTAATGATAACTTTCATATATTGCAAATGGGTGATTTTTACAGTATGATAATGTAAGTCATTCATTTCGCTGTATTAGTTGGTATTTGTCTTCCTATGAAATTTTTAACTGGTCATTGGAATATTCTTCTAGTGTACTTTCTTAATTCTATGCTACTTATTAACAAACAAGCTTTTTGGTCACGAATTGACGTCAGTTGGAGAACCATTGAAAATCTGGTAGCATTCAATAACTGTTTCATTATAATTTAGAAGTTTGTGGTGACAACCGTTTTCAATTTGTAAAAACTGTTTAGGGCGTTTAGCGTTTCGTGCAGAACCAAAAGTCTCATAAGAGTGTACTTCATTGACTTCGTCATCGAAATCACAACCTCTAGGTCTTGTAGTGATTGTATAACACTTGATCAAATTTTCCGGGATCTGACTTTAATCACAGTTAAGTAAATGGATAGTTTTTCCTTGCATATACAATTAATAAACACCCATTATGTTATATGGTTAAACTCAGAGTAACAGTTACTATTCATACATGTATGTATCTATATATATATCATCTCACTGTGTTATATTCTTGATTAATTAAATCGCATGTAACATTATCACATTGTACTGTAAAACTTGTCTTCTTTCATAACAGTATTCAACAATCGAAAACATCAGAAGCAATACCTATAGACTGTGAACAAAAACCCAATTTTTCCAATATCAAAAGACAATGTGAAAATAATGAATCAATATCCGATAGAAATAAACGTCTAATTAATGATAAATGTAATCATCATCAATCTACTATAAAAGAAACTAATCATGAAATAGAATTTGATTTAGAAAATCTGTTAGGTGCTGAAACAACACGTGAAAAAGAAAGTAAACGAATACGTGAAGAAGTTATGGAATTATTAAATAGACAATCGACCAAAGTAATTTTATATTGAATTATTTTTTATGTATTTTACATTATTATTATTTTGCAATTGTAACATGGCATCAATCCATAAAGTCACTAACTTCTGGTTTGACCCATGTCGGTAGATCCAGACTACTTGGTCGGGGTCAGCGCATCCATTGTAACCAGTGCTTGGAGACTCTGGGTGATAGCTCAGAATTGATCACAGTGGCGTAGGTGTATATACTCTTTGTCTTCCCTTAAACTGTAAGATTAAAATTGTTTTATACCTTTCAGTGTACGAAATAAATTTTCCTCCCTGTATCATATCCATTTATGAAATATCGTTGTACTACCACTAAAGTAGCAGCTTCCATGGGTTTGGTGTTCATTTTGTTATGCTAATAAGGTATAGCAACTTGGACTGATGAATATATGTACTTGGTCCTACGTTGTAGCCGACTGAATAAGAGATTAATTGATAAGTTTGTGGAAACTTTTAATCTCTTCTTTATGAATGTATATTGTTTATCCAAATGCCCTGGTACGGCTGAGAGTGGGGAGAGTCTGCTCTCCCTCTCGAAATGCTCTCATGGCCACACGAATATATAGCCTCTGCCAGGGAAGTCCTACTCACTGCCTTCTCGTGGCGGGGGTGTTGTTCACAAAAGTGAGAGGACGAAAAGCAAATGTCTGGCGCTTTAACCGGGTTGGTGGATGTGGAGGATCCACCTAGGGGAGTTGGAAAACCCTGATTCCAAACCAATGGTGCACATTGGCTCCAGGATCCTGAAGGAACGAATGGCGTATGAACCAACTGTTGGTCACCGGCTACCATGGGACTGTATCTCCTTACGATGCTTCACTGCCTTGTGGACTAGGCCTTTAGATCAAAGGCTCCGGGTGTGGCCTCCTAAGAAGACTACCTGCTTCAGTCTGGGCACCTGGACAGTATCACAGCCCTCACACAAATCGAATGAGATTTGTGAGGCGCATATTTATCTGGTGCTTCCTTGTACCAATATTTATGTGTTTAAATAAATAAATAAACTATGTTCTGAGATTCAGTTCACCTACAAGACAGTAGCTTTGCTTAAACATTCCAACCATTTGTTTTTTCTCTTTTGATGGGGTAAACATTGTAATTAATTCACCCGTCTTAAATCTTTTCTAGCCTCCTATAGACATATATTTTCCATATTACTATATATACGAATGTACAGCTTAAGTAAATGATTTCGTCGAAAAGAAAATTTTCTTCGCTGAATTCTCTTTTTCTTATTCAATGACATTATTAGTTATTTTAGATATCTTTTTTTATACCTTGAAATATTCTTTACAGGAAAGATTCCTAACCGAACGTTTTCGAACCCAAGGAGGTATGTGTTTATGTATATTTAAACCAAATGCATCTATTTAATTCACTAAATACATAATAAAAGCATGTTAATTAGTTAGCATATTTGACTAAAAAATGATATCACTATATAGTTGAAATGAGACAACACTGTTTTAATCCTGAGTTATTGGACTAATTGTAATATACTTGCTACATATGTTAAATATTTCTTGATTAGATCTTGTGAATAGTCTGTTGGTGTGGACTGTTCTGTAATGAGAACAATTTATTACGATAGAAATGCCCAGTTAACTTCCGCTTTTCACCTGTCCTTCAACCGATATTACTTCATTATGTAGGTGAGATACTCAAAGAAGAACTATCTAATTCTAATCTCTAGCACTTCACTTATTGGCTTCATGTGTTTTATCCGTTACGGATTGATCTTAGTTGGGGTACCTTTTATAAGCCAAAGAGCATTGGACAGCTGTTTCGCCCGAGTATGGGGCTCCTCAGCACTGCACACATGTGGTCCCAACAGAGACCGAATTCATGACCTTCAGGTCTCGTGGCCAACGCTTAATCTTTAGAACCATCGGTCAACAGTCCAGTGCTTCTTGGTTTTCATTAATACCTCAACTGACGTCGATTTGTGACCAGTACATCAATCTCGACAAAATCTTTCTTACTAAACTCTATTGCTTTTACTATTTTCTATACCATTATATAGAATGGGTCCTTGAAATTGCAGTTGTTGTGATCTGATATCATCTGTCTTATTCCTGACATGGTGTGATCCTTTCAGTCACCAATTTCCCCTTTAAACTTCTCTTAGTCACTAGTGAATATACCTCAGTCGTTATAGACAGAGATTTAAAGATCATATATTTGAATGTTCACTGCTGAAGAGTTCCAAGAAAGAAGAATCAAATTAAATCACTTTTAGGAAATGATTTTCAGTGATCACATAATTTTAAGAAAGCGACTGGTAAATACAAACCACTGTATAGTCATCGTGTTCCAGTTTTGGGAATTCGGTGGGTAGCTTGTTCATCAAATTGATTACATATTATTTTTGATTCATTTATTAATATTGTTTTATAAAATTATCATTTACCAAGATATATATGTATTAATTTTAGGCAGTCAAGTACAACAGTTTTGTTCTTATGGTACCCGTACTGAATGCTCAAAAGTTAAAGCACGAACCGGTGATAAGAAACGGTGTACTAAGCTTCATTTCCGTAAAATTATACATCCACATACGGATGGTAAGTACATATGTTATATTTATGTATATAAGGGTGGCCAAACTAAAGTGTAGAATCATTTCATGAAGTCACTGTTGGTTTCAGCCATTCTGTTTACTGCCAACTTCCTATTTTGAGTTCTTGCAATTATCATGATTAATGATTGGAGATGTTGTATGACATTACTAAGAATTGATCACAGTGACATAGATGTATTCACTCTTTTTTCTTTCATTTATATCTTCAGTTCTAGTATTCATTCATGTATACCCTCTCATTTCAATTTCTCAAACTATGTTTTTCATAACATGACTAATCTTGTTATTGTATTAATGTAGTATACCTTGAGAGTGAAAAGAATATTCTAAACCGTCCGTTGCATCACCTACTATAGTAAAAATGTATACACATGAGACATACAGTTCTAATAGAACAGAAATGAAAAAAACAGACTAGGAATGTTACGTAACTCAAAATATATAAGGCTAACTATTTAACTGACATACACAACTGTCACTGCGATCAATTTTTCATGAAGTCGCCCAACGTATCTAATCATTGTATATGATCATAGTGCAGTTAACTCTGCTTCCAACTAGGATGTTATTGGTTTCCGACAATTATGAGTTCATGATTTCACCTTAAATTTTCTGTAACGCAGCCCAAAACTAACTAAATGAATTTACAAGTTCACTTTATGTCTTACTTTTCTAATTTCAGAATCTCTTGGAGACTGTTCATTCTTGAATACTTGTTTTCATGTTGACACGTGTAAAGTAAGTATATAGTAGTATACCATGATGTTTAATTGTTTTCTGCCTTTAGTCAGTAAGTTATAAGTTTAAACCCGCCTCATCTTTGTTTTGGCTAACTAATTGGTAGTAGTATTCCTAACCCTTTCACAATTAATATGACAAAGCTGAGTGCATAAACGTGTACAGGATAATTGTGTTAATTCTAATGATACATAGTCAAATAGATTTGAATAAATATTGTAAAAACCCCATTATCTGTTGTCAGTTGCTTAGTTCAACTATGAAGCAGTCAATATCATCAGCACTACTAACCGGCAACACTGTTACTACAAAATCGAAGAAAAATGTGTCATGAATCTTTACACTGTTTCTTGCTCTAATAAAGTAGGAATATTATCTAATTCATTTATGTTGGTTGTTCGAATCTTCCCATCAATGTTTAGGACTGCAATTAATCAATCGCTTCAAGCATATGTGCTTCCTGCGTGGATTACCTTGATATTGTCATTAACTCACAAGCGCTATAAGTAGAGATGAATAGTGGCTGACAGTGGAATCCATGATGAGCGTCTCGTCCTATTTAGGAGTCGTCAGCTGAATGTGCCTGCGTCCCAAAGTAGATTTTCACTTCGGAACGTGTTGGTGTTTGAAGCAAACAATACTGAGTTCGAGTCATGGAGTGAACATCAACTCTGGGATGCAGGTACATCCATCTGATGAGTCCCAAATAGGAAGAAACGTGCGTCCTAAATTCCATTGCTAGCCACCATTCATCTCTGCTTACAATTTATATGACCTTGTTCTCGCAAATAAATGGTAGTTGTGACATGTAAGTACGTCTACCACAACTTTTTTTTCCAGTCCACTTTCTCCTGTTGAATCTTGGTGTTAAGTAATTGGTTGCAGGATTTCAAGGTCATCCTTGTCTTTTCATAAACAGATTTGTTCTATCAAAATTTTGATTACATTTGTAAGCGTTATGGCTCTTCTGAAAGTCCCATCCTCTCTCTCACTCATTTATGAACTACTGAGGTTAGAGTGTTGTAGTGTATATTAGTTTTTCGATCTATCTAGTTCACGTAGATCCCGTTTCGTAAAATAAAAATCTAACCTGTCATTCGTTCTTCGGAAGTACCTTGAACTATTCTAAAACATGACAAATACATATGCAATTCTCTTTAAACAACAGTCGATTATACCTTAGATGTGCATATGTAATATCAATTATTAGAAAATAAATTATATTTACATTAATTATAAACATATCACAATGAAAATCTGATATAAAAGACCCCATGGCAAGTGGAAGAAAGAAGTAAGTTTGATTAATTAAAAGTGAAGAAAAAAAACACAAAGTGATGATTTTATTAAAAATTTCAGAAGATCTTAACAGACGAACGAATCGAATAAATTTCCTATGTGTATACACATAGTTTAATATCATATGTGTGTGTGTGTATTTGTGTATGGGACAGAGGTTGCAGAAGTACAGAGACAGTTCTTTTCAATTTCTATGATACATGATCTCACGTTGTCGGCAGAAATGCAGTTCAACTAATTTGTATTTATTGTGTTTTCCAATCTGTTCCACCATGATTCATATTGGAAAAAATAACTAAATTAAAACCTGAATATTTTCTCTAAATTCATTATTATAGTTTATTATTTAACCAGTAATATACACTGAATAAATTAATTGGTCAAAATTTGCTCTCAGCTCTTAAGTCACCCTCTTTCAGTTTCATCTTTCTTTAACCGACATAGCAGGACTTATAGGTAGGTGCCTACTGTTCGAACCAATCTATGATTTGATTCGGTTGTCACAATTTACAGTCTAAACTATTACCACATCAAAGTACCTCTTACAATCGGGATTGAGTTAATAAAAAAAGTCCAGTGGAACATTGATTGTTAACAGTTCGACTACTGTGAAATATGATTGATATCCAATTAATGAAGATTTGGTTGAATGTGAATGTTTATAATTAGTTTTCTCCATTTGGAATCTGTGTTGTGATAGTTGGTGTCCGAAATATGACACTGATACACGAAGTGCTACACACTAACCCCCCCCCCAACTGACTCCTTGAGCGAAAACATAAGAGTGGACGAGAAAATGCATATATATATATATATACCCTATAGAAAATCAACCCATTTCTTAGCCAATGATATGCACTTGTCCTTCAAATTGCTTCTGATTGGCTTATCATATTAATCTGCTACTTCCATCGTTAACTTATATATGTCTAGAGGAGATAAACAATACATCGTAGCGCTTTTACATTGTGTATAACCTTTATGCAAATTTATTTTTGTCTTAACAATTGAAAGTCTGATAAACAAATGGATGCCGTTTTTAATCGTATCATTTTAATAATTACTTTTATTTACATGTCATTTTTATGTGCGCATGACTACTTGTGTGCATCTGCATGAGCATTATTCGACTTTATAAACTCAGAAAGTAATTTATACAGGGATTCAACTAATGAGTTAAACCCACACGTAAATCTACACATTATACAAGTGATCATCATATCAATTTGTGGAGCATCACTATTGATCATCACATCAATCCATTCATCACACTCCATACAATACGTAGGATTCTCACTTCGCACTATTGTTTGCTCTATATACACTTGATCTTTTCAATAAATTCGTCTAAAATGTATACATACCTTTCTAAAACATTTCGTATCCAATAAACCTGTTACAAAACAGAATAAGTCTAAGGATATATATACGAAATGTAACGTGAATTCAATATTTGAGATTATAAATAAACAGTTGCAAATGAGGTGGAGCTTGTAACTAACACACTGCATTTTTAAATGATCAATTCTCCCAATTCCCTCATAAGTTACTCTACTCATTATTATTGATTTTTGTAATTTTCTTTGTTATTTTAGTATGTTCATTATACAATAGATTATACAGATAGTGTTAATCAACAATTGAATGGTGGTGTTGCTAATCGGAATGTGTTAAATAATAAGAAAAATCGTCAAACTGATAATAGTTCTACAACAAATATAGTTTCGTCTTCGTCATCATCAGTATCATCGTCACAAATCAACACATCTTCAATAAATTCAATTGATGACGGTGTTAGTGGTGGTGGTGCTGTGAAAGACAATGGAACATCACTAATTTTGTATCCACCTCAGGTAATGTTCGACATATATATATATATATATATATATATATATATATATCATTTATTTAAAGACATAACTAATGGTATAAAGATACACCATACACAACAAGAGAATGTGGTTGTGAAGAGGTAGAGGAAGGAGGGTGAGTATAGTAAATAAAAAAATAATAAACGAATAAAAACTAGTGAATGAGAGTAGCAAATAATGATGGAACCAGTTCAGTTGAGAAAAATATACAACCAGAAAGAATTCTTTCAGTTCAAGAAGTTACTCTTACTTTTACAAACAAAGTAGAAGAAAATTACAACTGAGCCATCCCTGGTTACGTCTCAAGTCACTGTGTTGAACTATCTTTAGGATCTCAGCCAGGAAGTAGTGAAAAACCAACAGATAAAAGTCCTGTATAGCTTTCTTTTGTACCCCGGCACCGTGTCATAAACCACCTATCCACTTTTTCCAACCAGTTCAGGAGTTGGCAAATAATGTACAAGATGGAATTTACTGGTACGACATTCGTAGTATGTGTTCAAGCCACCAAACTTGGTGTTTCGAGGTGGTGACACCAGTTGAATTATCGTCATTGACGAACGTCTCTATTACTAACATGGCGTTGATATTGAATATCAGCAATCTTTCGGAAACAATCATCGAGTATAAAGAGTTATCTAATGTGCTCAACTCAGAGAGGCTACGTTTCACAATCATAGAGCAAAACTACTCTAACCGATGCGTTGTTGATCCGACTTTTACAGCTATATTTACATGACGAAGGAACCAAAGATGGCCCAGATTGGCATAAGCTACTCTGGCTTTCCCTATACATATTGATTTCTTCAGTCACGCCACCACCAGGGCTTAAACCGAGTTAGTGGATACGGAGGATCTACCTAGAGTAATTAGAAACCCTGATTCCGAACCAATCGTACACATAGCCTCCAGGATCCTGAGATGAAAGTGGTGTATGAACCTATTCTTTGCCGTCGGCTACTGTAGGACCGTATCTCCTAACTTCGTCCCACTGTCTTGTGGATTAGGCCTCTAGGTTAAAGGCTCGGGGGCTAGTCTTCTAAAAAAACACCTGATTCGGTCTGGGAGTTCATGGAGTATCCTAATCCACACGCAACTATAAAGAGAGTTATCAATGTGTGTACGTATGTATTGCCCTGTCCATCAAGTCGATGAACTTGGCTCATAAACATTTATTTTACAAAATATGAATTCTTATTTCCTGTAAAATCCTCACAATTTGTGACAACACGCTTATCTCACCCATGTTTTCACTGACCAAAACATTCCTAAAAGTCTTTCATAGTTATGTTCTTCATCTGCTTCGCGGTTTCATTTTTTATCACCACAATATCTCAGTGCTGCACCCATATGAGTCACAATGTATAGTCTGTACGGTTCAAGTTGCCATACCCTATTCGCACAGAGAGATGAAATTGTCAGGCCAAATTTCAGAATATTAGAGCTAGTAACAGTAATAGAAAAGATTAGACACCAAAGATACGACTCAAAAAGTAAGTATGAACTAGTGAAATAAAGTTATGAGGAATTTAGAATTTGAGGGAAAACAAAGAATGGATGCACATACACCATTGGAAACGATTTTGAATCATGTCATTCAAAGTGTGTAACCATTGATTACGATAATCACAAGAACTCCAACCAGGTAGTCTATACCCATCAACATGACTAATTTCAATTCACAGTGACTTCATGGACTGATGCTGTGTTTCGGTTTGGTTTTCAGTCTGTAAACAAAAGGGATTCACAGGGACTATCTGGTGGTAAGTAGAAAGGGTAATCTGGCGTGACAATCGAATTATCTGCCAGAAACTCGTTCATTGCAGGCTTTATAAGTTCATCCTCGAAATAACACGGCTGCATCCATCAATATCCTAAAACTCTGGTCTTATCGGATCCTACAGACACTTGTGAACCTTTACTTAAAGATCAGTTGGTATGTGCTCTTCAAGAAGAAATGCATAGTGGACAACATCCTGAATTTTGCACAATCATTAGGCAGGTAATATATATTTATCGACTAGTCATTAACTTTCAAAGTATGTCAAGTGGGCAATACTTCTAACCACAACTATTAATCATAGGATCAATATCCAAGTTATTTTGCTCAGTCTATTAAAGCGTTCATATCGGCTTTTAACTAACATTATTAAATATCCCAATAAATTAATCACAACTTGGCTGCGATAGCCTCATTGCATTCAATAAGCATTTAGAGTTGGGTATATTTTACGGAAGAATGTTTATGTATTAGTAAGTTGTGGGTTTCGAGCTCTGCCTCGTCAAACGCAGTTTAAAGAACGGAATCGTATTGTGGTGTGTGTTACTGATGTCGACAGATATAAGTAGTTTGTATCACCAATCGAAAGTGGAATACCTGGAGACAGAAGGTTGGGAAGATCGAGGAAAAGAGAACGAGAACAGAAAGTGATTGGTATGGAAATGACGGAACATTAAAGTCTAAGACAATTGATGGACATTTTGGAAACGAAGTACTTACTGTATGGTTTTCAGTTTTTGCTGAGACTCTGTAATTGTGTATTTAAATACAGCTGGTTGTCCCCACCCGCGTTCTCGTTCACTGAAGTATCACTACATAAGCAATGTAGGTTAAAACCATTTACATAAACTACTTGGTAAATGACTTACTATGCATGTGTTTTTCTCGGGGCAATGGAATTACTGGAAACCACTGATGTCACTTAATAATAATGTGTTCCCACAGACTAAGAAGTATTAATACGATGGTGAAATTGAAAACGAAGATTCGCGTAACGTACGTTAAAGGAACTTCTTCTATTAGTGTCCGTCCAACATTTCAGGTATAGAAGAGCATTTCTTGGATAAATACATAACTATTTATCCTCCTTTCATAACTGTCTACTACTGAAGAGGCAATAGTTATAACTGCTGGTAGAGCGCTCCAGAATGCATATACTCTTGAAAGGGTGATAACTTACTTGATACGCAATACTGCGAATAAGATTACTGATTTTCAAGTATTTGCTATCACTTTTCCAGTGGATTAACTGTGATATACGACTGATAAATATGTCAATCCTTGGAAAATTTGCTGTGATTATGGCCGATCCACCATGGGATATACACATGGAACTGCCGTATGGAACAATGTCAGACGATGAGATGAGACGATTAGATATACCTTGTTTACAAGATGATGGGTATATATTCCTATGGGTAACAGGAAGGTTAGTAAATATTTTTCTTATTTAAGTTACAACTGATAAGCTCGATTTTAATGTACACTAGCGATGTTTTGTCCTATGCCAGATCGTTCGTTCAGATATTTAAGTTATACTCTTCGGGTTGTGTGTTTAAAACATATTTTTCAGATTGGATAGTTCCACAAAATTAATTAATGTATGAATCTACTTCGAATGTTACCTATTTTGAAAGGTGAACCAATCGTTACATATGCCCATCACTATACTTATCATGACATATAATGCTAATTAGCATAGTAGATTAAAACAACGTTCATAACGGTCAAATCTAAGCGTAAGACTAATTCATGGAATCACTAATTGTTGGTTTATACTTTATCAAGATATGTGTACTTCCTGTGATTGGAGTTCACACGAGCAATGGTATGATCTACATAACTTTCGCTTTATACATATTGCTACTGCGATGTATAGCGTCTTAAACTGTCATATTTCTTAATAGAAAATCTGACACCTTTCTCAACTTTTGCTTGAAAACTCTGTAACTTAGACGACCGCCTTCTAGTTAACTTTTTATCTCAAATCACACAGAGCTATGGAACTTGGTCGAGAATGCTTACGGTTATGGGGTTACGAACGCGTGGATGAGGTTATATGGGTTAAAACTAACCAATTGCAACGTTTAATTCGTACAGGACGTACAGGACACTGGTTAAATCATGGCAAAGAGCATTGTCTAGTTGGTGTAAAAGGCAACCCAAAAGTAAGTTGAAAATAATTCTTATCAGTTACTCTTTATTCTATAAGAATGACCACTACTGGTCGGCGTCAACACTCAGACTAGCGATAGGGAATGAAGTAGTTCAGTGGGTCAACCACTTGTCTTGGAAGTCTCATCATTCCTGGTGGGTTGGCATCTGATAAACTTTCGGCACGGATTCGGTAAGTTCGATTGGTTTTTGCTAATTTACATCACTGCGCAACAGTACCTCTCTGTTCTATATCACGACAGCCAAATGTGACCTTTAAGAATTGAGGATATTCATAGACCATTAGTATTCGATCATAGATCCGTTTAAAGCACTGCTCTCATATGCTGGAACCACCGAGTGAGCAGTGGTTAAGCCAGACATAGGACATTAGGTACATTATTTATTTAAACACATAAATATTGGTACAAGGAAGCACCAGATAAATATGCGCCTCACAAATCTCATTCGATTTGTGTGAGGGCTGTGATACTGCTCAGGTGCCCAGACTGAAGCAGGTGGTTTTCTTAGGGGGCCACACCCGGAGCCTTTGATCTAAAGGTCTGATCAACAAGGCAGTGGAGCATCGTAAGGAGATGCAGTCCCATGGTAGCCGGTGACCAACAGTTGGTTCATACGCCATTCGTTCCTTCAGGATACTGAAGCCCATGTGCACCATTGGTTTGGAATCAGGGTTTTCCAACTCCCCTAGGTGGATCCTCCACATCCACCAACCCGGTTAAAGCGCCAGACATTTGCTTTTCGTCCTCTCACTTTTGTGAACAACACCCCCGCCACGAGAAGGCAGTGAGTAGGACTTCCCTGGCAGAGGCTATATACTCGCGTAGCCATATGAGAGCATTTGGAGAGGGAGAGCGGACTCTCCGCCGTACCAGGGCATTTGGGGGCTGGACATTAGGTGAAAATCACAAATCGACTGAGGTGGCTGGGGCGTGTATTACGTATGCCTAATCACCGCATACTTTGACACGTGATATTTGGTATTGTGGTAGGTTAGGAGAAATCAAGGGCGGGCGGACTAGAACATATCTGTCTATTAGTGCATTGACTGTTAACTGCATATCACCTATTTGGGGTCCGCATAGTCATCCCAACCGACCGTTAGAGATAATGAGTAACATGTATTAGAATCGGTCGCAGGTGCATTCACTATTTGTCTGCCCTTAGATACTGAGTTTCTATTTTGTCTTATGCATTTTATACACAAATGGGTTCTTCTTGAATCATATGTCTATGATTGATCTTATCTATTACTACCGTTACCATTTCTACTATTCTCCCGTTTGTGTTGATAATTTCGTCTCGTTGCATGAACCAATTCACATGTGTAATAGGTTTATGTTACGTGTAACTAAATGTTTACTTTTGGGGACGATTTAAATTATATTCTTATGCTGACATTTGTATCTTAAGGGTGTAAATCGAGGTCTCGATTGTGATATAATTGTCTCTGAAGTTCGTGAAACTAGTCATAAACCTGATGAAATCTACGGTATTATTGAACGATTATCTCCTGGTACACGCAAGCTCGAATTATTCGGACGTCCTCATAACTTACAGCCTAACTGGTAAGAATTTAAACATTTAATCAGTATATTAACTAAAGTCATCGGGAAAAGCATATATAATAGTTTTATTCTTTGGAACCAGAGAATTAAACTGTGTCAAACATGCAATATTAGGAGTTCATTTTATATACATGTATATCCTAATTTACATTCATACTATAAACACAAATCAAAGAAGTTTTTATTGAGTTATCTAGTAATACTTTCACTCGCATGAAAAAGTACTAGTATCATATCTACCTAGCCATTCATTCAGCTTTAACTGGATTGTACTGATCAGGTTGCTATGTGATTAATGGTGTGAGTAAATCATCATCGTGTTCATTATATTTGGATGCTAGGTGGTTGAAGGAGCTAGGTTTCATCTTGACTTGCACTCGTCAGCAAGGCGTACGTGCAGTCTCGAGGAACTGGCGCTCCACCAGAGATTCAGACCCTCAACGTCCACCCTGATGCTCTAGAACATTACTACCTGGATAACTCAGCGGTAAGATTCTAGAATGTAAAGCTGGGTGAAGCAAGTTTCAATCAAACAGGAAGTATCAGTTACTTCAAGATTGCAGACAAGTCATACGGATCAGCGCTAATTAATGCGAGACTTGAGTTCAGGACTTTTTCTTAGCACTTAACTAAGGAATTGGAATGTGGAAACTGCATACTGTTTCCTAAATCTGTGAACCTAAAATGGATCTAGTGTGCTTAGTTCAAGTGTTTTCAGAGTAAACGATAAAACTACCCGCTCCTTAATTCTTACTATCTACTCATTACTTAATAAATGGTCCTCGGAAAGATTCACAGTGCTATTACATACTGTTAATGGGTTTTGCACTTTTTTTAATTATTTAAATAAAATACCACAGGATCACACTTGGAAATCAACTGGACGGAACTTATTTGGTTGATCCAGCAGTTGTTGAACGATTTAAAAAACATTATCCAAATGGTTTGGATATTAAAGTCAAATAAAAACCAGACTGTCATGTATTCATATTGATTTATACATACATATGTACATTCTATTTATAAACTCACTGTAAATATTGTAAAAATATAAAGAATATTACTGTAAAGAAGTTTTCTAATACAAAGAATGTCATTTGTTCAAATTACCGTTTTGTTTAGTTGAGTAACTGTATTTCAATGTAAATAATCTAATTCGCTAGTTGTAATAACTGTGTTTAAACCATTTTGTATCCACGGCATATTTAGTAAATCTTTTGTAGATGGACGTTGTTTTGGATCATAATTCGTACAAGCTTTATAGATTGCTTCCATTTCAGCACTAGGCGGATTAGTTTCATTCTTGTTAAGAAAATGGGAGATAAACAGGAGAAAAGGAATGACAAAAAAAACTCCAGTAGGATATAAAAATTTACAGTATAACTCTAAAATAAACGATACATTTATACACATATGTGTATACATATAATCGGTAACTGAATGTGAAAAGCTCACACAATCCTACTAGCTGTTAATATAGACAGCTGAATACTCTTTCGTTAAATGTGATTCAAAAATAATGGTAGTAGTAAAGATTAAGCGTAGACAATGTGATTCAAGAAGACTCATTATTTAAGGAGAGACAAAGGAGCAAGCATCTGCACCGTTGCTACTGGTTTTAAACCATGTCACCCGACGTATCCAGTCATTAATAACGATAACCGTGCAGACAGGAACTAGGTAGTCTGCATCCGCCTACACTGCTGATTAAGATTAAATGAAAAATCTAACGTACCCAGTACATTTGGAAAGAAATAAAAAAGAGCACACCTAACGGTAACATGAATTTTATACCTGTCAAAAGGACTAAATCGGATTTATGTGAAACGACTTTGTGGTGTTTGATGGTACTACATTGAAGTTTAATGTACATCCCGATAAGAAATATTAAGATTTGATCTCAATATCAATCGACTATCTATCTTAAATATTTCAAAAAGTTAATAAATGCATACTTTTAATAGTTATATATGACCCCCCCCAAATGGTACGACCGAGAGTGGGGAGAGTCCGCTCTCCCTCTCCAAATACTCTCACATGGCCAGCGAATATATAGCCCCTGCCAAGGAAGTCCTACTCACTGCCTTCTCGTGGCATTACTGTTGTTTACGAAATTGAGAGGATGAAAAATGAATGTCCGGCTCTATAACCGGGTTGGTGAACACGGCGAGTCCACCTAGGGGAGTTGGAAAACCCTCATTCCAAACCAATGGTGCACATTGGTTCCAGTATCCTGAGGAAACAAATGGCGTACGAATCAATCGTTGGTCACCGGCTACCATGGGACTGCATCTCCTCACGATACTCCACTGCCTTGTGGATCAGATCTTTCGGTCAAAGGCTACGGTTGTGGTCCACTAGGAAAACCAAATGCTTCAGTCTGGGCACCTGGGCAGTATCACAGCCCTTAAGCAAATCGAATGAGATTTGTATGGCGCATATGTATCTGTTGCTTCCTTGTACCAATATTTATGTGTTTAAATAAATAATAATAAATAAATATATGAACCTGCGGAGTTTTCTGTACAGAAGTAATTAAAACTTCTAACCTAATTCCAATGAACGGCCACTCTCCAACTTTTTTATTTATTTATTTAAACACATATATATTGGTACAAAAGGGCACCAGGTACATATGCGCCACACAAAATAATGAAAGTAGGTAGATAAAGGATGAAAAGATAAGGCGGGCTGAAATGTACAACCAGAAGATTCTTTCAGTTAGGAAAGTTAGAACCATTCTTTATGTAGAAAGTAAAAGAAGGTTGCAGCAGGATCGCCACTGGCTTCTATTCTGAGCCATATCCGATAACGTCTCTAGCCACTGTGTTGCACTATCTCTCGGACCCCAACCAGGGAGTCGTGAAGGACCAACGGAAGCTAGCCCTTTGCAGCTCTCTTTCATGCCACGACACCATGTCATACACTGACCTCCTCTCCGCTTTCTCCAACCAGTCCCAGGGTCGGCAAATAATGCACGACGCGGAAGTCTCTGGGACGACATTCGTAAAACATGTCCAAGCCACCGAAGTCGGTGTTTCAAGATGGTGACACCAATTGAATTATCGTCTCTGCGCCCGAACACACGATGCCGAACCTCTGCATTACTAACATGGTGTTGCCACTGGATGTCAGCAATCCTTCGGAGACAACGATGATCGAACACAGAGAGACGTCTAACATCCTCAACTCGGAGAGGCCAGGTTTCACAAGCATAGAGCAAAACTGCTCTCACCGACGCGTTGTAGATCCGACCTTTTACAGCCAGACTAACATCACGAAGGCGCCAAAGATGGCCCAGATTGGCATAAGCCGCTCTGGCTTTCATTAAACGTGCATCAATCTCATCACTCACGCCACCACCAGCACTTATATAGCTACCTAGATACACGAACTTCTCAACTACTTCGATCTCCTCACCATCCAGGGTGAGTACAGGATGAGAATCCTGCCAGTCTTGTAGAAGTACTTTGCACTTGGAGGGTGCAAAGCACATGCCGTACCTGCGGACACTGATTGCCAACTGATTAAGTGCTGATTGCATGCCTTGGGCATTATCGCACAGTAAGACAATATCATCCGCATACTCGAGGTCGAGAAGTCGTTCTCCAGGCAACATATCCACACCGCCATTACTTACATCCATCAGAGCTGTTTCTAGGATGTCGTCGATGGCAAAGTTGAAGAGGAATGGGGAGATCGGGCAACCCTGCCTAACCCCACTGCTCGAATGGAACAAGGGAGAAAGGTGGTTGTATGCCCTCACTCTGCCTGAGGTGTTCGTATACAGGGCTTTTAAGATGTTAATGAACTTCTCAGGCACACCCTTCTTCAATAGACAATCCCAGAGAACAGTCCTGTCCAACGAATCGAAGGCCGCCCTGATATCAAGAAACACTACGATTGTTGGCCTGCGATAAGTATGACGGTGTTCTAACATTTGGCGGAGGGTGAAGATGTGATCAATGCATCCTCGACCAGAACGAAAACCAGCCTGCTCCTCGCGAGTCAATCGTTCTCGGGTTTTAAACAACCTACGAAGAATGATAGAAGCCAATAGTTTGGACGCGATCGAAAGTAGACTTATCCCCCGATAGTTGCTACAGGAACAACGTGAACCCTTTTTAAAGATAGGGACGACTATTGACTCATTCCAAAATGTTGGAACACTTTCTTGCTCCCAAACCTTTCCAAACAACGCAGTCAGTTCCTTAGCCAGAAAGTCACCACCATCTTTAAAAAGAGCCGGAGGTAAGTCATCTGGGCCAGGTGATTTATAACGTTTCAAGAGTTGGAGTTCGTTGCGGACTTCCGCCTCGTTTGGTGGATCAGTCGTCACCGGCCATGGGGAGCAGGACAAGCTGGTTGATGTTGCCGGAGCAGCAGGCCAGTTGAACTGCCCTTCGAAAAATTCCGCCCATCGTCCAAGACGTCGACAGATGTTAGTGATTGGCATCCCGTCATCCTCGTAGATTGTTTCACTCACACCAGACTTCTTGCTGCCAGTGGCTCGGATGAGTTGGAAGAGCTTCCGGCAGTTACCAGATGCAGCTGCTGCTTCCATCTCATTAGCACGCTCCGACCACCAGGCTTCCCGGTCCTTACACAAGCTTTGCCCGATTTCATTACGTAACAGCCTTCGTTTGTGGTCAAACTCACGGTCACCCGGAGTAGACCGACGGGCTTCCATCAGTTGTAAGGAGCCAGAAGAAACCCAGTGCTTGTAAGCGGGACGTTTCGCGAAGCCGCAAGCGGCTTTACTCGCCATTTTCATGGCGTCATGAAGATGCAACCAATGCTTACCTATACTTTTCGGTGGGGTGGTAGCTAGCCTAGAGGCTAGCTCCGCTCGATACTTACTTGCAACAGAAGTTGCAGCCAGTTTACTAATATCAATCCGTTGGTGGTGGTCAATCCTTCGGCCACTGAAAAGTAAGGTGAGATTGGCGCAGACCAGGGCATGATCAGACTCCAGATAGGTACTCCAAAAGGAGCGGCAGTCTTGTACGCAACCACGCCAGCGGTAGCTGATCGCGATGTGATCAATCTGAGTCCAGGCTTGGGATGCAGAGGGAGGACGCCAGGTGGCACACCGGCGATGACTGTGCCGGAAGTTAGTGCTGGCCAGAAACAGGTTGTGGTCTGTGCACAGTTGCAGCAAACGGTCCCCGTTATCTGTCCTGCGACCAACAAGTCCCCATCGGCCACCTAGACGACTCTCTTCTGTGCCTAGACGCCCGACCTGTGCATTCAAGTCTCCGGCTAGTACTACAATATCTGTCGAACGCGCTTTCTGGAGAAGAACTGTTAACTGATGGTAAAACTCATCCTTGATTGCATCCGGGCTGCAATCTGTCGGGGCATAGGCGGAGATGACGAAAAGACACCGTTTCTCACGCCGGTTTCTTCTCACTTTGATGGAACTTTCTAATCTAACAGCACATAACCGACTGTTAATGGGGATCCAATCGATTAGTGCTGCCTCAGCTCTAGCGCTTAGTGCGACACCAACGCCAGCAAGACCAGACGAAGATGCCACAGGGTCCCCGGATAAGCGCACGTGGAACAAGCTTTTCGAGGCGACAGATGGAGAGCGGATTTGTAGTACTTCACTAGAGTCTTGAATACGGGTCTCGGATAGACAACAAACGTCAACATTAAGACCTTCCAAAGACATAGCCAGCCCTATCTGTTGTCTGATCTGCATTAGTGTGCGAACGTTGAAGGAAGCCAGCTTGAACGGCGTACGTGGTTTCAGAAAGACTGCCTCAGTATTCATAATCGGTGGAAGCATTCACTTTCAACCAGACAGTGACTGGAGATCGTTTAGATAGGACAGATTTTCCACCAAGAGCGAGCTGCTGCATAAGTTGAAGAGTAAGGTTACACAAATTGGGGATAAAAGGGGGTGAATTAGCGATATGGTAAGTAATAATAATAATAATAATAATAATAATAATAATAATAATAATAAAGGTAATAATAATAATGTTAATTGTTTTGCTTTTAGTATGACCAGGGATATCGTCAATAAAGTTCATAATTTCATTCATTTGTTTGTGTGTGGGCTGTGATACTGCCCGGGTGCCCAAACTGAAGCAGGTGGTTTTCTTAGGGGACCACACCCCGAGCCTTTGACCTAAAGGTCTGATCCACAAGGCAGTGGAGCATCGTGAGGAGATGCAGTCCCATGGTTGCCGTTGACCAACAGCAGGTTCTTCCGCCATTCGTTCCATCAGGATACTGGAGCCCATGTGCACCATTGGTTTGGAATCAGGGTTTTCCAACTCCCCTAGGTGGAC